ATCTTGGATTTTGTTTTTCACTGAACTTGTCCACCATCTTGGATTTATTTGCCTTAAAATATAATTAGACTGAAAACAAGGCATCAGAGGTAGCATAATTAAGTTAAATACATAATTTTAAGGCATTATTGGTTTGTTCCTGATATGAAAGCTCTTTCAAACAGACTTTGTCCACCTATGATGATTTGAAAAGCTTTAAACAGAACTCACTAGGCTTTGGAACAGAATTCAAACAGTTTATATACTAGCTGTCAGCAATCTGTCACCGCAACCTATCTAAGCAGTAGTAAAAAAGCACAATCCCTTAAAGTTCCTCTATTAAAAGCTCATTCAGCTGAGGTCCACCACCCACCTAATAACACACAAGACAAAGATACGAGTTTAGTGGCGATCACTCACCTTTCTTGTCCCCAAAGAAGAGCGTCTGTTGTGCAGGGTTTGACCACTGGAGGGAGGTGTTGTCATTGTGTTCCACACGGCAGGTCAAGTTGGCTATTCCTCCTTCTGTCACGGTCATGTTCTGGACGATAGGGAACTGGCCTTGAGCTCCTGGAAGAGACAGACAGAAAGTGTGTGAGAGACAGGCACAACCACAGCAACATATGGAGCGTTCAACCTTTAGCATGAGCGCTCTACATGAATCCATCAATAGAAAGAATGAAGAAAACGACAAAAAAAAGCCAAAACACAGCAGCACCTGGGAAGAGTAAAATAACTCTTTCACAGAAGTTCTTGTAATATTAATGCCACGTAAAAAAACACCAAGCATGTTTTACTGACAGTTAAAAATAGAGCATGATGGAAAATATTCAAGCCAGTCAGTCAAAGTGACAGACAATGACTATTTGTAACGCAACCTCTGGCTATAATGCATTTTGCTGAAGCCCAGATCATGTGGTTTGGTTCGTGGAAGAGTTGTTCCAGAAAGGCAAAGTGGAAGAGAGCTATTTACATCTAAACGTGGGTGAAAAGTACAGAAGGTGAAGAAAGTTACTGACATCATTCAACACTAAATCATAATTGAGTCAGAAACACATGAGGAGAGGAGAACAGGCAACTGAGTGTGTGAGAGACAGGCACAACCACAGCAACATATGGAGCGTTCAACCTTTAGCATGAGCGCTCTACATGAATCCATCAATAGAAAGAATGAAGAAAACGACAAAAAAAGCCAAAACACAGCAGCACCTGGGAAGAGTAAAATAACTCTTTCACAGAAGTTCTTGTAATATTAATGCCACGTAAAAAACACCAAGCATGTTTTACTGACAGTTAAAAATAGAGCATGATGGAAAATATTCAAGCCAGTCAGTCAAAGTGACAGACAATGACTATTTGTAACGCAACCTCTGGCTATAATGCATTTTGCTGAAGCCCAGATCATGTGGTTTGGTTCGTGGAAGAGTTGTTCCAGGAAGGCAAAGTGGAAGAGAGCTATTTACATCTAAACGTGGGTGAAAAGTACAGAAGGTGAAGAAAGTTACTGACATCATTCAACACTAAATCATAATTGAGTCAGAAACACATGAGGAGAGGAGAACAGGCAACTGCTAAACTCAATGCCTTCAAAGATCTGTGAATAAAGATTTAGGTCTGTTTTCAAAAGCAACCAGATGACAATAAGCAACTTTTGTGGCAGGAGTTCTACCTGGAGGTGTTAAAGGAATTGATGACTCATCAGAATAAAACTAAAGTTTTTGTTTTAGCCTGCAAAGTCAGCACAATGCTGTTAAGGTACTGTGCATTGTTTTTGAACTGCCTCCCTGAGTCAATTTGCTACATTACATTTTTCATTTTCTCTTAAAAGTCAAAGTGATTTCCCCCCCCAAAATTCCCAGAAATATTCTTATTATATAATATTACAATAATAATAATAATAATATAGTTAATTAATATTAATATTAATTTAAAAATGTAGAAATTAAAAAAATCATGGCACCCCAATGGCCTTTTAAAGGTAAACAAACAATAAAATGATACACAAATTCAAACTCATTAAAGTGATAATTCACCCAAAAATGAAAATCCCATAAATTAATTACTCACCCTTATGTCGTTTCCAGACCCATAAGATATTTTTGATCAAACCTGAGAGCTTTCTGACCCTGCATAAACAGCAGTGCAACTACCATGTTCAAGGCCCAGAAAGGTAGTAAGGACATTGTTAAAATAGTCCATGAGACATCAGTGGTTCAACCTTAATCTTATGAAGCTACGTGAATACTTTTGTGCGCAAAGAAAACAAAAATAATGACTCTATTCATCAATTTCATCTTGTCCGTGTCAGTCTTCGATATGCGTTAACAAAAGTACTCATAGCTTAAAAGAAACAAAAAAAAAAACGGTTGAATCCTGAACGGCTGGGCCTTGAACGTGTCAGTTGCGTTGCTGTCTATGCAGGGTCAAAAAACTCTCGGATTTAATCAAAAATATCTTAAATTGTGTTCCAAGGGTCTTACAGTTTGAAACAACATGATAGTGAGAAATTAATAACAGAATTTTCCTTTTTGGGTGAATTATCCCTTTAAATGTTGCCATGTTGAGCAACTGTAACCTGTTTGGTTTTAAAGTGACTTCTGTGTAAATGGCACTTTATACATTGCTACACTATTGAAAACAGAAACAAAAAAGGACGTCCCTTAAGCACCTACAAACAACAGATATGGGTCACTCGTGAGCCCTTGCTTACTACGATCCGAGCAGAAGACTGAATAAAGGTTTAGCTCAGTGAGAAATAATTCACAAACTGACATCCATCACGGCACCCCAGGGTTAGACAGGCAATAACAGATCACCTTGTGCAGGGAGGGGAGCTAATGAAAAACTGTACACACACACACACACACACACACACACACACATAAAGACAACCCTGGAGAGGACATGATAGATGAATAATCTGTATTTATTTAAAGTGAAGAAGTGATGACTCTCACAGATCAGAGGTCAACATCTCCAGCGCCACCGCTGCCAGACATCAGGAGAGATGAAAAATGTTCGAATGTGGTGTAATAGGAAAAGGAGAAGGACGAAGACACGATGGAAGAGAAACGCTGTGTCCTAACCAGGCAAGTTTTTAGTGTGAAGTCATTTTTAAGTCCTAACTCAAAGAAAAATTATGAAAATAGCAACCAAACAACCACAGAAGTCATGGATTAAAATGCGAAAGATGTGATTTAGTACATGATTAGGACACGGCGAGCACAGATTAGTGGCTGATGAGAGAAATAGAGATTGACGGGTATCTGGTTCAATTCGACTCAATTTAGCATCTTTTTCTGTTCGCTGCTAATTGCAGCGTGTCACAATTAGCCTGATTTGAGAGCCTGTCCAGATATGGTGTAGCGTTCATAAGAGAACCAGGAGGACAAGAAGGAGTGAGTGAGAGAGACAGAGAGGGAGAGCTGCTAAGGGCCTCTCCACAGGCTTCCTGACAGAAGAGCACGTCGGCCAGCTGTGGTGCTTATTTCTTTTCCGTGCCTCTGGCGGTCATATTACATACACACACAAACACTGAGGAGGCGTCGATTTGGGATTTATTTAATTTCCTCGTTTATTTTAGTGAGACAGAAACAGTTGCATATTCTACAGTCTTGATTATTATAAGCAGAAAATATTGTGCTGTAGCTTAGCACTGTTATGCTAATGATGCAACTCAAAATTATTTATTTGCAACAAACTTGCAGATAACAGATGATAAAAACATGAGATATGGGTAATTTTGCCACAGTTTTGACCAAATATTTGCCAAAACGGTTTGGCACTTTCGTGCAGGAGCAGAGTTCAGTTCTGTTTGTAGTTCTGTGTCAGTGTGACATCTGGATTCTGTAAATGAACCTTAAATTCCCATACATTTTTAATGGCTTTTTGCATTTTGAGAGTTTAGTAAAATGGAACTCTAATATTTGAACTGGTGGTGGACCAATATGGATTTTGTGATTGCTGATGTCGATATCAAGCCAAAATCTTAAAAATAATTGTTACAAAAAGGGGGTTTGGAATATACTATAAAACTTTTCTGTGAACAGAATCATATTTTTCTTATTGTGAAAAAATTTAATAATCTAAAGAAAATGTTTTTTCCCACTATAAAGAACCTTTTGTGGATTGGAAGGTTCTTCATGGAGCCATCAATGCCAATAAAAAAAAAACTTTTATTTTTGAGTGTAGTAAATAACATCTGCTCAACAGTTTCAGCAATGAGATATACATTTGTTTTACATATTTACAAAAAAAAAAAAAAATCAGGGGGGAAAAAGTGCTTAGACACTCATATTCTCAGTGTTGTCAAAATAAAAGTCTCAACACTTATCGGCATCAGCGAAACAGAAAAATGTAAAAACAAACAAAACAAAAAAACAAAAAATATATATATGCAAGCATGCAATAATAATAATAATAAGAAATAAAGAAATTCAAACAGGTTTGGAACAACTTGAGGATGAGTAAATGATGACAGAATTTTCACTTTTGGGTGAACTATCCCTTTAAATTCAAAAGGGCTCAAACTGAATTTTGAGAGTTTAGTAAATGACAATGAAATATTAGCAATATATGTGCTGTATGTTCCATCAGGACATAATGCACATGGATTTTGAATGGCTAACTATATAATCTGATCTGAGTTTAAATAGTATAGTTACGGCATGCTAACCAGCCAAAACATGACCCCATGGTTCACTTCTCTGGCTCAGGGGTCATATGAGACAGTAGAGCAGGTCATTTACTACCTG